TTTTTTATTTGGGCTAGTTAAATTAATTTTCAGGCTACCAAAATCTGAAGAGTACCTGCCCGAAGGGCTACCAGGGATTTCAAAATTTTGCAAGCCCTGCAACTCATTTGTATTCTAAATACAGTATCACGTTACACTACCGTTCAAAAGTTTGGGGTTGTTGAGATTATTTTTTTCACCAAGGCTCACCCAAGGCTGCATTTATTTGATCAAAAATACAGTAAAAACAGTAATTTATTTGAAATAGAAATCTTTTATAATGTTATAACTTTTGATTAATTTAATGCACTCCTTACTGAATGACAGTATTAGTTTCTTTCAAAAAATCTTTTGAATAATAGTATATATTGGCCATCAGCGGTTTTTGTTTAATTGAAAATTTCAGTGTTTACTTTAAAATATATTTAAAAAAAAAATTTAATCATTGTTCTATTTCAGTTTTTCTTTATTATAGCCCTGTGATGTTTTTTTATATAAATTAAACCGTAAATAGTTGATTTCACATGACCGAGTAGTTACAGTCAGTAGCTCCCACATGTCCCACATGCATTATGAACCCCGTAGATGCTGGCATTTGTAATGTAATTTTCTAAAGAAAAATCAGGATTATCAGGATTGTTGCGAATCGGCAGTGCTCTGCCCCTCAGCCAGCACACAAGCTCCTGGACACAAAAGACAATGATAAAATCTATAAAATATCTTCTCATTTCTGGCAGGTGAATGCGGATGCCAACAGGCTGAGCCATGCTGGATCGCGGCCTTCCCTGTCCCACGGCGGCCCACAGTATCCTCAGATAGCCATGAACAGCTGCAAGTACAATGGGGGCATAGTCAGACCACTCGGCAGTCTGGGGGCGTCCCGGAGGAACCTAGCAGAGCTGGACTCTGAGACACAGCCTTTGCAGACCCTGCACTCTTCCGGCCTGGAGGTGGTGGTCTCCAAAGGGAATGGGGAAGACCCTAGTAAGCAGTCCAGCGAGAACCTTGTGAGGCAAAGACCATACAGCACTCCGCACAAGAAGAACAAGGACATTGGCTATAAGCTCGGGCACCGGAGGGCGACAGTATCACGTTACACTACCGTTCAAAAGTTTGGGGTTGTTGAGATTATTTTTTTCACCAAGGCTCACCCAAGGCTGCATTTATTTGATCAAAAATACAGTAAAAACAGTAATTTATTTGAAATAGAAATCTTGTGTAATGTTATAACTTTTGATTAATTTAATGCACTCCTTACTGAATGACAGTATTAGTTTCTTTCAAAAAATCTTTTGAATAATAGTATATATTGGCCATCAGCGGTTTTTGTTTAATTGAAAATTTCAGTGTTTACTTTAAAATATATTTAAAAAAAAAATTTAATCATTGTTCTATTTCAGTTTTTCTTTATTATAGCCCTGTGATGTTTTTTTATATAAATTAAACCGTAAATAGTTGATTTCACATGACCGAGTAGTTACAGTCAGTAGACGATGAGTTTATACAAAGGTAAAAGTTTTGAATGGCCTCAAAGAGTTTTCTGGACACTTAAAGGGATAATCCACCCAAAAACAAACATTGTGTCGTCACTTACTCACCCTCATGTTTTTCCAAACCTGCATTAATTTCCTCCTGCTGAAGATGATGATATTTAGTTGATATTTTGAAAAATGTTTTGGTTCCCTTTGACTTCCATTGTACTTTTGTCCATACAATGGAAATCAGTGGGAAGTTATTTAGTTACCAAAATTTTTCAAAATATTTTGTTTTGTGTTCCACTGAAGAAATTAAGTCATACAGGTTTGGAACGACGTGGGTGAGTAAATGATGACAGAATTCTACAATTTTTTTTTTGGTGGACTATCACTTACAAAAATGACTTAATTTCATTGCAGTATATATGAAAATATCTAACCAGATCAAATCAATTGAAAAACGTATTAACTTAAAAAAAAAAATCAGTGGGTTACACTTGTCAGCATGAAATAATAATAATAATAATAATAATAGAAACTGCAAAAGCACAGAACAAACTGCTTAAACTAAAAGATGCAAACTGAAAATATAAATATGAAAGTGAACTCAAAGTATTATTAAATACTATAATCATATGTAAATAATACTAAAACAACACTCTTTGAACAACTTGGGTTATTTGGCAACCCAGCGCTGGGTAAATATTGGACAGAACACATGCTGGGTTATTTTGACCCAGCTTGTTGGGTTAAATGTTTTTACCCAGCATGCTGGGTTGTTTTATTGAAGTCAACTATTGTTTAAAATTACTATATTGCTGGCTTAAATTTAAAATCACACACAGAATTACTAGAGGCAACAGCAGTAATCGAAAGATGAACATTTATTAATAAGCAAGAACACCTATGGACCAAAATATAAGGCAAATTGAATTTATTTGGGTGAATACAGCATAAATTACAATATTAAAACAAACATTTCAGATTTCGCCTAGGGCGTCAAATTGGCTAGAAACGGCCCTGTGTACATATATGTACATTTATAGTTCAATCAGGTAAATTTAATCTTGTTTTTAAAATGTTAAGAAATTATTTTGATGTAATATGTATAATTTATATTATAGTTATATAATTTTACATAATATATTGTATGTTATATATATATGTAATATATCTAATATCAATTCTCATACAATTCTTTCAGGTAAATTAAAGATGTTTGCATTTTTTGCAATGAAGATCATAGTTCTGCTGCAGGACCCTTCAATGCCTTCAAATATGTTGTTTCTGTCTAACGTTTAGCTCTTTATGGTTGACAATGGAGCAGACGACTGGCGGATAGCCATGACGTATGAGCGTATCCTGTTCATCGTTTTGGAGCTGCTGGTGTGTGCCATCCACCCCATTCCAGGTCAGTACGTCTTCACCTGGACTGCCCGCCTGGCCTTCACCTACACCCCGTCTGTGGCAGATGCAGACGTGGACATCATCCTCTCCATCCCCATGTTCCTGCGGCTGTATCTGATTGGCCGGGTCATGCTCCTGCACAGTAAGCTCTTTACGGACGCCTCGTCACGCAGTATCGGAGCCCTCAATAAGATCAACTTTAACACACGCTTTGTCATGAAGACTTTGATGACTATCTGCCCAGGCACAGTCCTGCTGGTTTTCAGCATATCATCATGGATCATTGCTGCCTGGACTGTGCATGTCTGTGAGAGGTGAGATAAACCTTTGATTTCTGAAGAAACACTGTTTGTACCTGGAGTAGTAAAGGAATATTCCACCTAAAAATGAACTCAACCCTCATGTTGATCTAACTTTCTTCCTTCTACACTGTAAAAAAGATTTTGGAAACACTTTACAGTAAGGTTCCATTTGTAAACAGTAGTTAACTACACTAGTTAACATTAACTAACAATGAAAATACTTCTAAAGCATTTATTAATCTTAGTTAATGTTGATTCCAACATTTGCTAATACATTATTAAAATCAAAAGTTGGATCTATTAATATTTTATTGACCTGAGCTAACATGGACTAGCAACGAACAGTTGTATTTTTATTAACTACCGTTAACAAAGATTAATAAATACTTAACAATGTGTTGCTCATTGTTAATGTTAGTTAATGCATTAAATATAGTTAACAATTGGAACCTTATTGTAAAGTGCTACCGATTTTTTATTTTTTATTTTTTAAGTCGCAAAGATTATTGGAGTAGTTTTTACAAGAAATTCTTTATCAGTCTTTCTACTTTAAAATTTCATGTTTAATTTATTGTTTTACTTGCCATTTCTTAGAAATTGCTAGTAAATTTCACAATTCATTTGTAAAAAAAAAAAAAGTAAACCGGTAAAAATTGTTTCAAAATAAATCCTACAACATTTTCAGTGTGTTGAACACAAAATGTAAACTTCTGATGAAAAATCTCTGAAAATATCTATTTTTCATATATTGTAAGTGAATGAGGATGTCAAGCTCCAAAATGACAAAACAAGCACCATTAAAGTGCCACATTTCACTCATGCACTATTTCCATGTCTTGTGAAGTCATTCAGTAAGTTGTGTGATGAACAGATCAAAATGATAACCTAGAGCCAAAAAGCTGTCTGCTACAGTTAATTCTAAGATCTAATCTAAATATTTATTATTAATCATAACCAGTTACAATTAGTCATAAATATTTCCCTTTTGAGCTGATTTACTACATTATATTTGGAACCTTATTGTAAAGTGTTACCGCTTTTTTTTTTTTTTTGAAGTCGCAAAGATTATTGGAGTAGTTTTTGTACAAGAAATTCTATATCAGTCTTTCTACTTTAAAATGTCATGTTTAATTTATTGTTTTACTTGCCATTTCTTAGAAATTGCTTAGAAAAAAAAAAAAAAAGGTAAACAGGTAAAAATTGTTTCAAAATAAAACATTTGTTGAACACAAAATGTGAACTTCTGATGAAAAATCTCTGAAAATATTTATTTTTCATATATTGTAAGTGAATGAGGATGTCAAGCTCCAAAATGATAAAAAAACCTGTAAAGAACTACTACTGTATGTCTGATATTTCATGTTTGCATCATGGTGACAGACTGAAAGCTGCTGTTGTTTTTACAGAACATTTATTGTTAATGATAGTCTACTGGTGTATAGTTTAGGTGCATTTTGAATTTGAATTACCGTGACTTGAAATTTTTTAAAAGCATTTTCCTCATATTATTTCTGAACACATAATATGTATAAGACAAGTTTGTACAATATGTACTTGTAGTTTATGCTTCTTTTCTGCAAAGATATTTAACAAGTGATTTGTTTAACATTTACATCATGTTGACAACTTCATGTATGCTGCACTTAGAATAGAATTTTCTTTAACTAGAGGGTTTATAAAGAAAATGTAACTTGAATCATGTTGTAGTTACATTTTCAAGCTGACTAGTTAAAAATCGTAAAAAATCGAGAATCTGTCAAACATTCTAGAAAAATCGAGATTTTTATTTTTTGCAAAATCGCCCAGCCCTACTGGCAAAACAGCAAATTGCTGGCATCCTGGAAATCCCAAATTCTGTTTATAGCCAAATTCAGATCCATGTGTTTTCTCCTGTAAATGGTCTGTCATCTTATAGCCTCTGATATAGAGTGGCCTTAGCGTTGGGTAATTAAATTTTTTAGTCATTCTTTGGATTTTGGGATTTTCACACAGCTGACACCATGTGTCAACATGGTGGTCATCATGTTCATGGCAGCCTGTTCTTTTCCTAAAGCGGTGTCAAATATTTGACCTTTTCTGGTGCTCTAAAGTACTATTCTTACCAAGATACCATCTTGGCCTATAGGCCTCGGGGGAGAGTAAAGATCCAGTATGTTGTCATGACCCATAAACATAGAGAGAGCAGCACTGCTATGCTAATCAGGTCATCCTGAGCCCTTTAGCCAGGTTCTGCGCCCACTTCTTACCCATTAGACTATATGTGCTACGTCATCCACCTGCTATTTCTTCACTGCACTGCACCACAACAATTGTCCATAGTGTACAGTATATATGGGTTTTCTTCAACTACGGCTACATTTAACCCTGACTTATATAATATAGACACACTTTTCACATCCCTGTAAGTTTATTTAATTTGTGTACTAACAAAGTTTAACAGCTGACATAAATGCATCACAGGAGAATTGCTGTTTTTTCTTTTTTCACCAGAGTTTAACAGCATTCTATTCTAAACATTTTTCCCCACACAAAATTACAGCATTTTGTGTCGATAGTGATATTTTTCTTTGTTTCACTAAGGTAAATTTTTATCAGTTGGTCATGATGCAAATTATGCCACAATGGAGGACTGGTATATTTTTTTACACACGTTAAAAAAATTATAATGAAATAAAAAATATGAAAACTGTTAAATGAACGATATTGACATATAAACTTTTTTTGATGATTATAGATTTTAAAATACAATATTTTAATTTTTTTCATAAATGTTATGACTGAAAATAATTATTTAAATTATTTAAATAATCTTAAAATTAATTAATTAATTAATTTAGTTTTTAAACCTGATCTGAGGTACAAAATCACCCCTTTAATTATATTTTTTTGGACTTTCATTTCTCACACTTTTTTTCCCCCACAATATCAAAGCATGGTTGTGTTAGTGATTTTTCTTTGTTTTACATGGTAATAGCTTCACTAAGGTAAAACTTTATCAGTTGGTTAATGATGCAAATAATGCCGCAACTGCAGACTGGCATATTTTTACATAAATTAAATAAAAGTATAAAAATCTGAAACTGAAAATCTGGATCTTAAACAAGGATAAGACAATTTAAAAAAATGTGTGTGATTAAAAAAAACTCTGCATTTACTAAATTAAAGGGATAGTTCACCCAAAAATGAAAATTAGTTCATTATTTACTCACCCTCAAGCCATCCTAGGCATATATGACTTCCTTCTTTCAGATGAATCCAATCTGAGTTATATTAAAAATTGTCTTTGATCTTCCAAGCTGTTTAATGGCAGTCAGCGGGTGTTGCAGTGCATCAGTCCAAAAGAAGTGAAATAAAGCGCATCCATCCATAATAAAAAGTGTCTCACACGGCTCCGGGGGGTGAACAAAGGCCTCCTATAGCGAATCGATGTGTTTTTGTAAGAAAAATATCCATATTCAAAACGTAATAATCAATTTAATCTAGCTTGCGCCAACAGTTGTACATGGAAGCAGCTCCGGGAGGATGACGTGAGATGTTGACGTTGCGCATGAACTATTTTGAATTTTTGGGTGAACTAACCCTTTAAAAGTGTCCACAGTTGTTGAAACATCCATATCTTCAATGAAGTTTATTTTTCTTACCCCATTTTTCTTGTTTCAAAATTTGTGTGGTTTATACTTAAAACAATATAGATGTTTGTTTTTCAGATAAATGTATCTTGTTTTAAGCATGCCCAGATACTGTTACTGGAAAGACAGATTTAGAAAATAGTCTTTTTTTGCAGTGTGGTTGAGAAAAAGTGCTGAGGACATTAACTAAGCTAATGTGCTAGTCAGGTGTCATCCTAGCTTGTTATTTTCTGTATTCTCATGTCTTGTGTAAGAGTTACAGTGGATTAATCTGTCGGAGGAAGGGAGAGGTGCTTTATCAGCACCTTTAGAACCCTCCGAGACTCTGTATTTCCCTTCGCTTCACCCCTAAACAGCCACAGCTACTTCTTCACTTTAAATCATTTGTCGGCAGGCTAGTCGACAGTCCTCGTTTAATAGCACTCAAGCTAATGAGTCCTCAGTTAAATTCGTGGGCATAGAAGCTGGACGCTCACTGATTGATTAATTCGAACATAAATGTAGAGTTACTCCGTAGTCAGCACATGGACATATTGTTCATGCTGATGGAACATGGATTTGAGGCCAAGAGAAGACCTTGTTCTGAAACTGACATCTTCATCATTTTTTTATTGTTTTATTCTTTACATTTGGTGTTTGGGGTGAATGTTTCTGGAACTGAGTGGACTGTTTTGTTATGAACGCTGGAAGAATCGACATAGATGGTATGCTGTTCCCTTTACAGAAATTTGCCATGGTAACCTCCAAAAGTGTCACCAAAAATATAGTTACTGTGATTATTGTTGCTACTGTGCAAAGCTTTCAGAATGTTTCTGCCATTTTATTTACATTTTTTATCAGCAAATACCAAGTCACCACTGACTTATTCTAGTAGCAGTTACTGTAGTAACTGGCAGTTACCGTGGCAAATTTCTGTATGGGTCGAGTCTATGTTTAAGATTCTGTGATATGTACAAGTGAAGCTCTCTGAAGTTCTCTGTTTTGAGATAATGCTAAAGTGCCTTGGTTGAAATTGACTGCCTGAACGCTCTTATGTGCCCCATACTGTCAGAGCAGTGCATTATCTGAGTTCATGGCAGCTTTGGATTTGGTTACACTGCCAGCATGTTTTTCCATATAGCCGTTTTATGCTCGTGTAATGGACTGTGACTCTCACAATAGTTTTACACAGACGCATTCTCCACACCAGACCGAGCTAGAACACTGGGGAACAAGAGCAAGCCATCTAATAGGCCCTGGCTGCCCTCTCGTTCATACGAGCAGAATATGGACAGCACTTCTTTAAAATTACGTATACAAAGGCACCTTGATTTATATTTGAGCTGTCCGCCTTTTTATCCAGTGCGGTCAGGCCTGAATATTGATATATGCTGCTGCATTCAATACTTGATATTGATATTGCACTTTAGGTCGCCTTTAAGATTACCCTTCAAATGTAATTGGGCTTCTCAAAGACCCCTAATGCAAAGTGTACCTGTATATTTGAGCTGTGCAACAGTGTCGATGTGCAGTGCTGCTCAAATTTGAAAGGGACTGTTTGTATTTAAGTTTTGTAACTATAGTATTGGACAAATCAATGAAAATCTATGAAGATATGATTGCAGCAGCACAATGTATTAAGTAGGTATGAGAGTAACAAAAAAAAATTTCTCAGGTTAATTTTGTTTGTAAAGGAAAATGCAGCTACTATTGTGTTTATTAATTTATTTAAATGTGTTTAAATTATTAAAAGAATATAATGAATTAATTTAGATTATATCCTAAACTGATATACAAGATGCACATACATTTTTTTTTTCATTTCATTTTGTTTGTTAATGTAAATGTAAGTTTTATTATATGTAATGTTATATTTATTAATTTATTTAAAATTGTTGAAATTATAGAAAGAATCTAAGTCATTCATTAATTTACATTTTAACCTGAACTGAGGTACAAGAATCACTCTTAAGTAATTTGTTCCTCAACATAAATGTAGCCACTATTATAGGTATTCATTTATAATATATTTTTTAAATAATCAAAATAATAATTTAGATTTTGAACTAAGGTACAAGAATCAATTCAAGTATTTTGCTTTAGTTCATTTTGTTTGTCAACATAAATGTAGCTACTATTATATTTCTTAATTTATTTAAATTATTTTAACAATGTAAATAAAATTAATTAATTTAGATTTTAACCTGAATCTAAAAAAATCTCTCTCCCCCCCCCCTCCTCATAATTCATATTAATTAAATGTAGTAAAATTTGTACATTTTTTTTTATTCTGTTTTTTTTTTTTTTCAAACTCGTACTGGGTGCACCTTTGAAGACTTTTCTTTTTGAAAATGTATCCTATTAGGTATTGATTAGCCACTCTTATCAAATTAATCCCAGCATTTTATTGTCATTTTATCTCATCAGATACCATGATAAAGTGGAAGTCACCAGTAACTTCTTGGGAGCCATGTGGCTGATCTCCATAACCTTCCTGTCTATTGGTTATGGAGACATGGTGCCTAACACATACTGTGGGAAGGGAGTGTGTCTCCTTACTGGAATCATGGTGCGTCTCTCTTTTACCCTACTAATTATGTCCAAATGATGCACAAGTCTTACATTTAAGACATTCATTTTCTGGCAAGTTTATCTGCATATATTTTTACAGTTATTAGTGTCCACTCAGCCATAACATCATCAGGTCATAAAGCCATTTTATAGAGGAACTGTATATAAAAATTCTATTTTTGAGATATTTACACCCTTGTGAGTTTATCCGCATATTTTTTACAGTAATTAATGCCCACTCAACCATAACGCCATCAAGCTGTGAAGCCATTTTATAGAGGAACTGCATTTAAAAAGTGACTTTGCTATGATTTGTGTTGTGTGTTTGTGTGTGTTTTCAGGGGGCCGGTTGCACTGCCCTAGTGGTGGCTGTCGTAGCCAGGAAGCTAGAGCTCACCAAGGCTGAAAAGCATGTCCATAACTTTATGATGGACACTCAACTCTGCAAAAGAGTGAGCATGTTTTAATATACAGAATTGTAGCTAAGTGAAAACCAAGTAAGTATAAAATAAATGTTAGACAGAGCAGTCAAACTCGCTGCAAAAAGCACTTTGGGCCAAATGTTGATGCTGCAAAAGCTGTGGAAACTAGCCAACATTCCCTTGATGTGATCATTTTCTAGACAAAACCTGGCATGCATATCTCACCCATATCGCTAATTCACCAGAACCTTCCAGAGTCTACAACTAGTAGCACTTAATGCTGTATTTCAAGAAAATTCACCGTTTATGGCGTAATAAGTTACCAAACATACTGTACATCTTTCTGTCCGCACTAGCTGTAGTGATGATTTAAAGAGATAGTTCACCCAAAAATGAAAATTCTGTCATTAATTATTCACACCCTCATGTTGTTCCAAACCCGTAAGACCTTTGTTTATCTTTAGAACACAAATTAAGATATTTTGGATGAAATCCGAGAGCTTTCTGACCCTGCATGCATAGACAGCAACGCAACTGACACGTTCAAGACCCAAAAAGGTAGTAAGGACATCGTTAAAATAGTCCATGTGACATCAGTGGTTCAACTAAGAAAACAAAAATATTGACTTTATTCAACATTTTCTTCGTGTCAGTTGCTGTCTATGGAGGGTCAGAAAGCTCATCAAAAATATCTTAATTTGTGTTCAGAAGTTGAAAGAACGTCTTGTGTGTTTGGAACGACATGAGGGTGAGTAATTAATGACAGAATTTTCATTTTTGGGTGAACTGTCCCTTTAAAAAGTTTCTTATCTGGACTTCATTTGCTCACAGGTGAAAAACACGGCTGCTAATGTACTCAGGGAAACATGGCTAATCTACAAACACACAAAGCTTGTGAAGAAGGTTGACCATGCCAAGGTCCGGAAACATCAGCGCAAGTTTCTGCAGGCCATTCACCAGTACGTATTTTTGCAACATTTAATCTTTGGAATCTTCCTTTTGCTATGTGTGCTGTCTGCATTTGTATTTTATATGAGATGAGATATAAATCTACATTTTATGGTGCTTAAAACTGGATTTAGTTCAAGATCTTGCTTTCCGATTTAGGGAATCTACTCCCATAAAGTTTTTGATATGGAGTTTTGGAAACGGAATTGAACCTTTTGGACTGAATAGACTCAACCTCATATTTCCTTTCTAATTAATTGCCACAGCATTTTAGGATCTTGGGAGTTTTACCTGTCAGATCATTGGATGACATCTTGATGCTGATGATGCCAAACATAATTGTGTGCATAAATAACCAAATGCACTTTTTGGTTAAAAATTACTGTCTTGGTGAGATGTTAATGTAAACTCAGTAGCATTGTCTTAAGTAAATGTAAAAAAAAAAAAAAAATTCTCACAATATCAGTCCAGTGCATTGGAACTTAAAGTGTAAATGCAGCATGCCACTGCCTATTATCATGTTAATATTGATCAAACAGTAATATTGGCAAAGAAGAAGAGAGAACCCACTCACTGCTGTTAATTATTTCTTTGTTCTTTATTGCTGACTGTCTATTTGTTTACTTAATTGAGATATACTCAAAGGCTACATGCCATTGCTTTCATTTAATTTGTTTATATTTATATTAATATTTCACTTTTTAAATAAAAGAGTGTGTTTCATAGCATATTAGGTTATGCTTTGAAACTTTTATGGAGCATAATGAAATATCTTTGGTATTGTGACATCCCTAGTGTACTGTTGACAGTAACCTGGATGCATGATAGAGAAAATGTTTTTCATGTATATTGTTCAATATGAAAAATTGGCATGACAAAAATGTTGCTAAATGGCCTGACGATGCAAATCGAATTTTTATTTTTTTTTCAAGTCAGTCATAAAAGTTTGAAAGTCATTTGGTGTGGTGTGCAACTTGAGGTTTTTAAAAAAATGTATTCTGTGTTCCATTTGTTTTGCCTTAAATCACTGCAGAGCTCAGAAGTAAGTCATGTCTTCTCTTTTTCCTTACCATTGGAACCCTTTTTCATTTTTATAAGTCTTATTCAGCAATATCAACCAACATGATTTGAAGCTGGGCACCATTTTTATTTAGCATTGATATCCATTAATGGTGTTTGGATGAATTACATTTACATGGTTTACTAACCTGTTAAGGTTCTTGGAGGGAAAGGTTCTTCACATCTTCTCAGCTTCAAATTTATCAAATGCCACAATGTCAGAAATTCATTCATCTAGCCTGTACCAGATTTCCACAGAACCTCGCACTGCACTTTTAGTCTTTTAGATTCTTTTAGTCGTACCACCGTGTACAATCTGCTAGTCTGCTGGTCTGCAGTGTTTTCTTGCAAACACAAATCTATTGCAAATCGCCAAAGACAAGAAAATAAATCAATTGTCATTTCATCAACATCGTGTTGTTCCAAATGCATATGACATCTTTAATTTAACAGTTTTTTTTTTTTTCAAGAACGTGAAAGTTTATGAGAAAAATACGGATGTTTAATTTGTGAATTGTTCATTTTAATCAGATTGAATTGAGTTGAATGAACTGGTTGACCATTTAATAAGTTAAAATTAATATAAATCGTTAAATAAAATACTAGCTACATTTATATTGACAAACAAAATGAACTGGACAAAAATCCTCAAAGAAATTATTTCTGTACCTCAGTTCAAGTTAATCTAAATTATTTATTTACATTATTAAAAAAAAATAATGTATTATTCAATAATAATACTGTTTAATATTATCTACATTTATCTTCATAAACAAAATTAACAACAACAAAACTCAGGAATGATTCATGTATCTCAATTCAAGTAAAAATCTTAATTCTTTTATCTAAATTATTAATGTTAATTAATTATTTTATTAAATTATTAATATTAATTTTTTTTTTAAATATACAATAATGAATCAAAATACTTTTATGTTTATTGTCCCTCAGTTCAAAATCTAAATTAAATAATTAGTTATATCATTTAAATAATTGAAATAAATTAATAAATACAGTAGTAGCTTCATGTTCACATGAAAAAGAGTGACCAGTGCATTATACAAATGTTTTCTTTTTGTGTTCCACAGAAGAAAGAAAGTCATGCAGTTTTGGAACAACATAAGGCTGATTAAATGATGAAGAGAATTTTTAGCTGAACTAATCCTTTAAGCGCAGTAACATTTTCTGGCCGTGTTATAGGTTCTCTGATGTGAATCGCCAGTCCTGCCTCTGTTTGGCACGCGGTCAAAGTGAAAGCGCAACTGCTGAGCACAACAATTCATTTATAATGTATTTGGCCTTCACTTTTACGAGACCACATAAACATTCCCTTGCCTAATGCATACAATCATAAAATTCTATAAATATCTGCACATGAAATGCTTCATAAACTCAGCAAATCGGCCTGTGTTGTGGAGAAGGTAACAACTGCATCTGGAGTGCAGGGAACTATGGAGGTCTGGGTACAGAAACAAACAGACCAATTTTGGCCCTCCCAAAATTGAGAGTTCATCTTTGAAACAGTACAAGCTCATGTGAAAGAGTACAAAGTGTCCACCTTTTATTTTCCATAAAGCTTGCACACTTGAGTTTTTCACACTTGTTTTTCGATGGGAGGGGGAGAGTTTGAAGCAAATGGCTGGTTGGGGTTGGTTTAGGTTGCTTGGATAACTTTGGAGAAGACCGTATGTTTGAATAAGACACGAAAAGCCATCACGTTATGTTTATATTCTGCATGTGAGTATCATTGACAAGCATTTTTCTCAAGAAATTGTTGTAAGGTCTGACAAAATTCCTCATTCTACAGTTACAAAACTCTCCTCGCCATCTCCCCTTTCCTTTCCGGGTTTTGTTTGAGGTGTCCTATAGAGGAAAGCCCAGCTATGTGTATCTAGAGAGTTTCTGGTGTTAGCTCTCTGAATTCAATAGGCACTGAAATTAGGTTAATGCTAATGCATCACTGCTAGCACATCTGTCATTACCATGGAGCACAAACAGTGTGTCCTCCCATTCTGTGTCTTTATCAGTTCATCTGTTTCCACGTTACACCGGCTCCAGTCTGACACGATATAATGAATGTTTTCTGCTACATCCTATTGAGTTTCAATGTATGCCGTCACACTGTTGACAAAGGTGGTGTTTGGGGTGTGCTTCCGCACATTTTGCACCGTTCTTGCTACAATAAAGCTTTTTAGTCATGACGTCAATTTGTAGGCCTGTCTGCCAGCTGCAAAAAAATATATAATGGGTTTTTAAAATAGCAACTTATAGTTTATGGTTTTTGATTTACATTTAAATTGAAGTCTGTGATTAACATAAGCTTTTTTGACTTTGAGGTTTTGTTTGACAATATAAATTCAAACATGAATTCTGGGGCCAGTTGCATAAAATTAGCCTGTATGTTAAGACAGTGTCTTAAAGGGTTATTTCACCCAAAAATGAAAATTAGGCTGCGTTTTAGTGTTTGATTATACTGATTGGACTTGATTAGGAAAGCCACACACCTGTCTATATAAGACCTTACAGCTCACAGTGCATGTCAGAGCAAATGAGAATCATGAGGTCAAAGGAATTGCCTGAAGAGCTCAGAGACAGAATTGTGGCAAGGCACAGATCTGGCCAAGGTTACAGAAAAATTTCTGCTGCACTTAAGGTTCCTAAGAGCACGGTGGCCTCCATAATCCTTAAATGGAAGACGTTTGGGATGACCAGAACCCTTCCTAGAGCTGGCCGTCTGGCCAAACTGAGCTATCGGGGGAGAAGAGCCTTGGTGAGAGAGGTAAAGAAGAACCCAAAGATCACTGTGGCTGAGCTCCAGAGATGCAGTCGGGAGATGGGAGAAAGTTGTAGAAAGTCAACCATCACTGCAGCCCTCCACCAGTCGGGGCTTTATGGCAGAGTGGCCCGACGGAAGCCTCTCCTCAGTGCAAGACACATGAAAGCCGGCATGGAGTTTGCTAAAAAAACACCTGAAGGACTCCAAGATGGTGAGAAATAAGATTCTCTGGTCTGATGAGACCAAGATAGAACTTTTTGGCTTTAATTCTAAGCGGTATGTGTGGAGAAAACCAGGCACCTGTCCAATACAGTCCCAACAGTGAAGCATGGTGGTGGCAGCATCATGCTGTGGGGGTGTTTTTCAGCTGCAGGGGCAGGACGACTGGTTGCAATCGAGGGAAAGATGAATGCGGCCAAGTACAGGGATATCCTGGACGAAAACCTTCTCCAGAGTGCTCAGGACCTCAGACTGGGCCGAAGGTTTACCTTCCAACAAGACAATGACCCTAAGCACACAGCTAAAATAACGAAGGAGTGGCTTCACAACAACTCTGTGACTGTTCTTGGATGGCCCAGCCAGAGCCCTGACTTAAACTCAATTGAGCATCTCTGGAGAGACCTAAAAATGGCTGTCCACCAACGTTTACCATCCCACCTGACAGAACTGGAGAGGATCTGCAAGGAGGAATGGCAGAGGATCCCCAAGTCCAGGTGTGAAAAACTTGTTGCATCTTTCCCAAAAAGACTCATGGCTGTATTAGATCAAAAGGGTGCTTCTACTAAATACTGAGCATTTTTCAGTTTTTCTTTTTTAATAAATTTGCAAAAATGTCAACAATTCTGTGTTTTTCTGTCAACATGGGGTGCTGTGTGTACATTAATGAGGAAAAAAAAATTAACTTAAATGATTTTAGCAAATGGCTGCAATATAACAAAGAGTGAAAAATTTAAGGGGGTCTGAATACTTTCCGTACCCACTGTATGTTCCTATGGCTCAGTGGTAGAGCATTGCGTTAGCCACGCAAAAGGTTGTGGGTTCGATTCCCAGGGAACACACATGCAGGTAAAAAATTTATAGCCTGAATGCACTGTAAGTCGCTTTGGATAAAAGCGTCTGCTAAATGCATAAATAAATAAATAATACGTCATCAGCCCGGAACTGCTTCCGTTTACAACAGTGAGCGCAAGCTAGATTCAAGTGATTATTACGTTTTAAATATGGTTATTTTTCTTACAAAAACGCATCGATTCGCTACAGAAGGCCTTTGTTCCCCCCCCGGAGCCATGCGAGACACTAACCCTTTAAGAACTAGTTTAACCAACTAGAAGTTAACCAAGGGGTAATCAGTCTTATATTTTGGATTCAGCTTAGACTAATCTACATTTTAATGTAACCTAATTTAAAAAATGTTGACCAGTCTTAAAGGGATAGTTCACCCAAAAATGAAAATTTGATG